ACCTTGTTTTCTTTAGTTACTATTTTGCATCAATTCTTTCCTTGGACTTTCTTTAGATTAACTCTACATTTTTTTATATTGAATCTTTCCAACTTGTATATATAAGCTGCACAAACTGTATCCTAAATTTTTTTGACATGCTAATATGCTTATCACTCAGTTCCAAACACTTTCTACTCTCATTGCCTACTTACTCTATAACTCATATTTTTTCTGAAACTAAGATAATTTAATCTATTTTTACAATTGATTTCTAATATAATGATGTCAAAACATGATCTGAAACATAACAATTCAGCAAACTCTTTTTATAAAGAGCAAGACCTGGTCTCCATTGTAACTCCTCAATTCTGCCTTTGTAACAATAAAGCAACCAAAGACAGTAACAGAAAAAAGTGAGAGTTACTACATTCCAATAAAACTATTTACAAATATAGGCAGCTTGCTAGAGCTGCCATTGTGACACACCAGGTCAAGCCACTGCCTGCAACGCCAGCATCACACTGAATCCCAGCTATTCCGCTTGTAATGTGCCTGGGAAAGCACCAGAAGATTGTCCAAGTGCTTGGGCCCCTGTCACGTACATGGGAGACCTGGATGGAGTTTCTGTACAGAGTGCCAGGCTCCCAGTTTCAGCCAGGCCCAGATCCAGCTGTTGCTGCCAGAGGATGGAAGATCTCTCTTTTTTGCACCCCCCCCATTAACTCTACCTTTCAAATAAATAAACTTTAAACAAAAGTCACCTAGCAAATCATAGTTTGCCAAACCCTTGTTCTACAGGGCGCAAGTCTGGTTAAGACTCGCTATACTTAGTACATGAAGATTTATAATGTCCCATGCATTCTATTTTTTAAAAAAAAATTAATTATTTTTTTGAAAGGCAGTTACAAAGAAGCAGAGAGAAAGAGAGCTCTTCCATCCACTGGTTCACTCCTCAAATGGCTGCAAGAGTGAGATGAGTCTATCCGAAGCAAAGAGCCAGGAGCTTCTTCCAGGTCTCCCTATGTGCGTAGTAGGGGGTCCAAGCACTTGGGCCAATTTCTACTACCAGGTCATAGCAGAGCTACACCACAACGCCAGACCCTTCCATGCATTCTTGCATGCCAATTATTATGCACACTTTACGGTTCAGGTCTGGTCTACTGCTGACATTTGCTTTAAAAAAAAAAAAGTATTTATTTACTTGAAAGGCAGAGTTGGGGGGGGGGTTCCCCAGCTGCTGGTTCACTTCCCAGGTGGCTGCTACAGCCAGAGCTGTGCCCATACGAAACCAGGAGCCAGGAGCTTCCTTTGGGTCTCCCATGCCGGTGCAGGGGCCCAAGCACTGGGGCCATGCTCTACTGCTTTCCCAAGCCATAGCAGAGAGCTGGATCGGAAAAGGAGCAGCTGGGACTGGAACCCGCCAGGTATGGCATTCCGGCACTGCAGGGGGCAGCTTTACCCCCTAGGACACAGGGCCGCCCGCCAATATTTCTTTTGTTACTTTGGCCTAGTGATGGGATTTTAGAATAAGAGGATCCTCAGCTGCCAGCTTTGTCGCTTATCATTGAGTAGCTTGAGGCAAATTACTAACGTCTCTAATCCTATCCACCTGCAGAAAATAACAGTACCTACCTCATGGTGTGAACCTAAGGAATGACGCAATAAAATAACCCACACAAAGCACCTAGCCAAAGGATGGGCAGCCTTCAATCACTATTAGTGGTAGTAGCATCATCATGTCATTGAACCACTAGTCTGAGAAAAGTATAATTATAAACCAATTTTCCAAAGAAACTAAGGATCACTGATACTTAGAAAACTTGCCTAAGTCTCACCGCCAGTGACCAAGCGCCAATTCCCACCCAGAACTTCTATTTCCAAATCCAGCGTTGCCAGTACTTAAACTCTGATTAATCCAGTCACACTAACTCGAAAGGAATTTACTGGACACCATCCCCAGGCAAGGCTGCATTTTAAGACAGAGAAAGGGATTACGAAACACACAAGTGTTTATTCTTCATGGTGCTAATGTAGTCCTGGGGTGGGGGGGAGGGGAGAGTTCAGGGAGCTCAAACAGGATTAAAGCGTATGGAAAGTGCTAGACCAGGTGAGCAAACCACCAGTCTTCGGGAACCGGCTTCTAAACCCGGCAAACGTCTCCGGGCTGGATCCTTTAAGAACGTGGTGTCACCCACAGGTGCACCCGGGCTCCGTGACCTTGCCTCTCTGTCCGTCGACCCCGCTTCCCTGTACGGCTCTCCCGCTCCTCGTGCCTTTAGGCGCCTGGCCCCTAAAAATATCACCCGACGTCACACCTCCCGGCTCTTGCCTTCGGCTTTTTAAGAACCGGCGCCGTCATCCCTCTGAGTCACGTATCACAGCCCTGGCGCGCTGCTGATTCAGGCCACTGAAGGCGGTGACAAATCCTGCCCCTTTCGAGGGCACCCAGGAGCGCGTCCCCCACGTGAGGCTCCGCCACCAGCCCCAAGGCGGGCTGGATGTAGGAAAGCAACCCCAGGAATCCCCCTGTCTCCCGGCTCAGCCGTGCGACTCTTCCAAGCCTATCTAGTGACAATTGCTAAGGCTTTCTCCGCCCCGTCCATGACGGAAAACTCGTGACTGGATTCTCGGGCGCTAGGCAGGCGCGGAGCAACCGAGGGGCGGAGCCGCAAGCCCTCAGAGCTACAAAAGCCCCCGACGGGCGGCGCAGGCGCAGTCTCTCGCCATGGAACCTCCTTCCCGCCGCTGAGACTAGGAAGCGGGACGCCAAATCTGTCCCCGCGCAGCCGCCGCCGCCAGGCGCCGAGCCGGGTGGCCGCCCTTCCCTAGGTGCGCCTGCGCACGTTCCCACGCACGCTCCGGCGTACGGCGGCGGCCAGGGGTCGCGAGCCGGTGGAGGACCCGCGCGCGGAGAAGCTCGAGGAGTCAGCGCTTCTTCCCTCCCTCCCCCGTTCCCCTCCCCACTCCCTCCCCCCCTCCCCAAGAATGTTCCGCTACGAGGTGAGTTGTTGCGACCGGAAGTGACCCCTCCCTCCCTCACGCGCCCCTTTTCCTCTCACCCCCGACTCGCCGGTCCGCGGCTCCTAAGGGGGGAGGGGGTGGGCTGTGGGAGTCGCGGGACCGAGCGGAGCTCGAGCGGCTCGGCGTCGTGGATTGCTAACCCGCGGGTTGGGAGCTGGCTTCAGGGGGCGGGACTGCCCCATCAGTTGCCGCTGGGGAGACTTGGTCTGTTTTCAGGTGGGGAGGGCCCGCTAAGTGCTGTGACCGGACCACCCCCTCACCGCTGACCAGGGTGAGCCCTGGAGTAGAAAGCCTTGCAGCTACCTGGTGCCTCTTCTTGAGGAGGAGTCATCAGGAGTGCCCAGCGAGGAGTTTTCCCGCCCTGGACCCAGAATCTTACCCCCCACCCCCCACCTCGTTACACACACGCCCCCGAACGCTCAGACAGCCTTCGGGTCCGGGAGGGCTGGACTTGCCCTTTGACTGGGACCCCAGGCTGTTGGCTACCTAGGGCTTGGAGTTGGAAGGGGGGCGTGTCCGGCCGAAGTTCCTTGTAGGCAAGTGTAGGGAGCCGTGGCTTTGGTGACGGTCCCGGGAATGTGGCAACAGCCTAGAGCCCTGACCCTGTCACGGACTCGCAGTTTGACCTTGAGCGACTCTTAATCACCGGAGTTTCTAGAGTGAAGGGACTGGTCTAGGTGATCTCTTTTTCATTTAAAAAAGTGGTCGGGTTAAAGTAGATCTTTGTGGTTTGGGAAGGAGTGATGTGGAGGCAGTTGATTGTCTCATTTGTGCAAGTTTGTGAGGGCTCTGGGATGGGTAGGACTGCCCTTTGTTGTCCTAAGGTTTCCTTGAGGGAACAACCTAGCCAAGAGGTAGATAGGCAAGATATATCACAAATCTACCCACTGTTAAGTGTGGAATTCTAATTCTGAATCTTTGAAAGTTGGGAACAGATACCCTTGACAGGAGTGATCCAAGACCAAACTGACCCAGTGTAAACATGTTGAGAGATGATGAAATGCATAGGCAGAAGTTGCCAAAAGACTTGCAGTTGAATAAAGTGGAAGAGAAAAGGGAAAATGGAGTGGAAAGAGGAAATGTTTACAGTAGAATACGTCTAAGATGTTGCAGTGATAGTTAGCTTTTTGTTCAGCAATCCACAATCTTTGCCGAAATCTGTTTGCCTCTCACAACTGTAAAGTATATGATATTGTTTATGCCTTATGACTTAAGAGACTGAGACACAGGAGATTGTCCCAAGGTATTTGAATTAATTTTAAAAAATCAGTTGCTGTGTTAACACTACTTATAAGAGTGGAGACAAAACTTGAACTTGGCATATCACAGCTTTCTTGGAGTTTGTTTAGTTGTGGTTGAAAACTTGGCTGTTTTATCACTAGTATAGGCCTCTAGGAAGTAGAAGGCAAAAAGGGTGGAAAGTGAAGAGAAAGCTTTAATAGTTGAAATGATAACATGAATATAACAAGGAAAGTGAGAACTCTTTAAAAAGATACAAAATTCAAGCAAGATAACAAAGTGTTCGTTTTTAATTACCACAACCATTCTAACAAGTGATAGGCATAATTTCTTGATTGCATGAGGAGTTGCTACTATTAGACTCTTGATAAAATAAAGAAATCGGGTGCTTGTGGGAGAAGATTTTAAATGGAATAAGAAAGAGGAAATGGAAACCAAAAGAAAGAAGATAACTGAACTCTTCCAGTGTCAGGGAGATGGATGAGTAGAAAAAAAGTCATCATTACAAAAAGAATGAGATTATTGTGTTCATTGAGAAGGTGAGATGAACATTTTTAGAACATTTTAAAAATGAGGTGAGTTTCATGAATAGCTAATCCATTTTATCTTGTTTTTAGTCTTTGGAGGATTGTCCTCTAGATGAAGATGAAGATGCATTTCAGGGCCTGGGAGAAGAAGATGAAGAGATTGATCAATTCAATGATGATACATTTGGATCAGGTGCCGTGGGTAAGTGATTTCTTTGTCTTGTAATTGCAGTCTCTTGCTCTTTTCAGGTGCTCTTATTTATACCTGCTTTATCTTAGTGGGAGTAACTTTATTCACTAACTTTTCAGGGTAGTGTTCTATTGTTGACCTCAGGATACTATATTTTTTTACCCTGCTCCTTTGGGGCTCTTATTGCCTCACCTGTAAAACCAGATCCCTTCCAGCTGTATGATCTGTGGCTCTAGGGTGCCACAAGAAGAAATTCAAGTGTTTATAGAGAAGTAGATATTTACCAGAGATTTAAAAATAATCCAAGGGGAGGGGAATTTTTTATTTGTAGAACATGCAACTTGGGGAAACTAATGAATAGTAGAACATTCAAATTCTAGAATGCAGATGTGTGTTTTAGAATTCAATCCATTCCTAGTATATTAAATAACCTTGCTATATAACAATTTCAATAAAAATTAAATGCTGTTATACCAAGAATTTTGGTGATAGATAATCTTCATAAGTTAGAAAAGTGTTGTGTGCAGATGAAATTTTTTTCTGTCCCTGGATATGGGTTAATAATCTAGGAGATGGAAAAAGTATAAAACATTAAAGAGCCAAATTAAACTTACAAACCACAATTATAAATGTTAGGATAGAAAATTTAGGAAGTAGGTTAATATGGTAAAGTTGGAGAACACATTTCATTTGAATAAGTAGACTAACAGTTAAAATTTACTTCATATGTTGTAGTAACAGCAGGTTAAGCCACTGCTTTGGATGCTCACATCCATATCAGAGTACCAGTTCTGGTACCAGCTACTCCACTTCCAATGCAGCCTCCTAATGCATCCTGGGAGGCAGCAGATGATGGCTTAATTGCTCAAGCCCCTGCCACCCATGTGGAAGACCCAGAGGAAGTTCTGGGCTAGTGTCATTTTGCCTTTCAAGAAGATGAAAATAAATAACTTGTTGGTTTTTTTTTTTTTAATTAAAAAAATGAATAGGGAAAAGTCAATGTAGGTATTTTTGCCTTAACTGTTGGTGTTGGAAAATAACAATGACAGCGTTTATGTTGGGAAGTGTACATATGTGTGAATCAATCGCAGCACTTCTGTCAGTGTAAGAAATGTTCACAGTTAAGTAATAAGGGAAAAAGGAAATTTGGCAATAAGGAGCACTCAAGATCTTCAGTATCAAGGACAAATAAGGATCTTACTGGTTTTGCAGTGACCTAAACAGCTTAAGTTTATTAAAACTTAGAGTTGAATGAACTGCCAAAAATGAAAGTGTTTCCTATTGTCAATCATTTATAAAATTCAGTAAAGAACTAAAACTTTGTCATGATTTCAGAGCAACAAAATGAATGTTGAAGGTACAAGGTAAGAGTCATTGTGAGGAAATCAAAAATTTTTTGGATTATATCCATACTGTAAGGAGATGAGATTGTCCAGGAGAATGACATGATTTAAGATGCTATTGTCTCTCTCCATGGAGATCACAGGAAAAGGGACATAGAATTGCAAGTGCACAGAATTGTGTGAATTTTGAAAATTATATTTAGAAGATTATTAATAATCTATAAAATAGAAGCTAGAAACATGTGTTTTTTAAACTTTTTCCATTAAAATAATGTTCTGAATGTTATCATTTTTCAGCAAATGAAGTTGATGGAATTGATTTATACATATTAAGATAAAGTAATATGTCCTCATTTTTGAACTTGAAGAGAGAAGGAATTGTTTTGCCTCCTCGTTGACTTCCAGAGTGCAATGAACAATCTCTTTGTTAGTTTCTCTTTGATTTTTAATCCACGGAGAGATCATCTTGAGTAATAACTTTTAGTGCAATGGATATTTTAGATCACTGTCCACATGTTTGATATCACTTTAAGAAATTAGTGACTGTCTTCTGCATGAAAAAAATGCTTGCATCATGTTGGAACAATAAATTATATTGCAGTAAACCCAGTTCAGTCTCTAAAAATAAAAGCTTACACTTATATGCTGCTTAGTATGTGCTAGGCACTGTTCTAAATGTTCTACATACATTACTAACCTTCACAGCAACCTTGTGAGTTGGATACTATTATTATCCTCATTTAAACAAATGAAGCAGAATAACAGAGAGATTAAGTAACTATAAATACAATTAGTGTAAATCTATTATGTTAAACAGTCTTTGGATAAAGTTTGAAAAAATTTCCTGTTTTGCTTATGAGGGCTCCCCGTATTCTTTCTATTTGCCTCTAAGTGAAAACTGCTATAATTTTAGGGCAATTTCAGTCCCTAATCTTAGAGCAAGAAAAATCAAAATGATAATGTATTCTACAGCATAGATCTTTGCTTGCACATTTAAAAACAATAATTCACAAAAAATCCATTTGCACAGAATGTGGCTGTTTAACCAGTATTTTTTAAATCTTATTAAGGACAAATAGAGTATCCATATTTGGTGGGATCTGGTTAAGTTAGCCAGAAACAAAATTGAGAACTGGGGACGGAAAGCAATGCATTAGGACCAATCAATTAACAACTTATTAAATTTTGGAAGTAAGTATTTTTAAAGTCCCTGAATTCAGGATTATAACCTCTTTACTCTTTTGGCATTGTTGGGTTAGTAAAATTGCAAACAACAGTTTATCCTTTCTCACTCACTCTTCCTCACCAAAAATATTAATTCCACAGTTGATTTTTAGTTACATTGAACCTTAACAGTATTCATTTCAGATGAATGAGCATTTAAATTAACAGTGTAATTTTCATCTAATAAAGATTTTTCCTTTTTTTTGAGCACATCAAGGTTATGTTGGTCAGGAAACTATCAAAACGAAAAGGATTCCTTAAGTTCTTTGCTGTAAGACAACATTTCAGGGGTGAGTGTTATGGCATAGTCCAGTCACTGCCTGCGATGCCGGCATCTCATATGGGGGATGCTGGTTTGTGTCCCAGCTGCTCCACTTCTGACCCAGCTCCCTGCTAATGACCTGGGAAAAATGTCAGTGATGGCCCAAGTACTTTGGCCCCTCCACATATGTGGGAGACTCAGAAGAAGCTCTTGGTTTTGGCCTGACACAGCCCTGGCTGTTGCAAATATATGGGGAGTGAACTAGTGGATGGATGATCTCTCTGCTTGTCTCTTTCTTTCTTCTTCACTCTGTGTAATTTAATTTAATACTCTGTGTAATTTTTTAAAAATAGATTTATTTATGTATTTGAAAGAGATACACAGAGAAAGAAAGGCAGAGAGAGAGAGACAAGTCTTCCATCAACTGGTTCAGTCCCCCATTGGCCGCAATGGCTGGAGCTGCGCCATTCCAAAGCCAGGAGCCAGGTGCTTCCTCTGGGTCTCCCACATGGGTGCAGGGGCCCAAGGACTTGGGCCATCTTCTGCTTTCCCAGGCCACAGCAGAGAGCTGGATCGGAAGTGGAACAGCTGGGACTCGAACCGGTGCTCATATGGGATGCTGTCACTGCAGGCGGTGGCTTTACCTGCTATGCCACAGCGCCAGCCCCTAAATAAATATTTTTTAAAAAGAAATAAAGATGGGGCTGGCGCCGCGGCTCAATAGGCTAATCCTCCGCCTTGCGGCACTGGCACACCAGGTTCTAGTCCCGGTCGGGGCGCCGGATTCTGTCCTGGTTGCTCCTGGCTTCGGATCAGCGCAATGCGCTGGCCACAGCGCGCCGGCTGTGGTGGCCATTGGAGGGTGAACCAATGGCAAAAGGAAGACCTTTCTCTCTGTCTCTCTCACTGTCCACTCTGCCTGTCAAAAAAAAAAAAAAAAAAAAATGGCCAGAGCCGTGGCTTGTTAGGCTAATCCTCTTCCTGCGGCGCCGGCACACTAGGTTCTAGTCCCGTTCGGGGTGCTGGATTCTGTCCCGGTTGCCCCTCTTCCAGGCCAGCTCTCTGCTGTGGCCCGGGAGTGCAGTGGAGGATAGCCCAGGTTCTTGGGCCCTGCATCCCATGGGAGACCAGGAGAAGCACCTGGCTCCTGGCTTCGGATCAGTGCAGTGTGCCGGCCGCAGCGCGCCGGCCGCAGCAGCCACTGGAGGGTGAACCAATGGCAAAAGGAAGACCTTTCTGTCTGTCTCTCTCACTGTCCACTCTGCCTGTCAAAAAATAAAAAAAGCAAAAAGAAATAAAGATAACATTTCAGAAGAAGAGTGCCTCTTGCCTAGACACTCAGTAAGAGGAAGCTGTGGTTGACGAAGAAAACTTCGCATGATTAGAAAAAACGACCCATGTCCTAGAGGCTTAGGTAAGAATATTTTTATTGCTCTGTCCCTGTTTATCCCAGTGATGGCTAGGTGATCAGCAGTTTAAAGATGTGGTTCCCATAATTGGTGTTCAGGATTACAGTGCTTCCAAAGGCTTTAGACAATATATCCTATGATGTAAGAATTATAAATTTGGAAGTCTTTTTCCCATTTTTTGGGTCACTAGTGTAAAATATATATTGTTATATAATAAAAATTGCAAGGGGCTGGCTTTGTGACACAGCTTGTTTAGCCACTGCCTGTGACACCAGCATTCTATATGAGCACTGGTTCAACTCCCCACTGCTCCACTTCTGATCCAGGCAAAGCATAGGATGTCCCAAGTGCATGGCCCCCTGCCACCCACATGGGAGACAGAGATGGATGTCCAAGCTGCTGGCTTCAGCTCAGCCCAGCCCTGCCTATTGCTGCCATTTGTGCACTGAACCAGCAGATGAAAGATTTCTATCTCTCATACTGTCTCTTTCTGTTCTGTTTCTGTAACTCTGCCTTTCAAATAAATAAGTCTTTTTAAAAATAGAAGCAGCAAATTATAAATACTTAGTATGCTCTTGATAAGGAATTAGCCTCCTTAAATATTTATTTAAAAAATATATATAGGGGTAATACTGTGGTGTAGAGGTTAAAGCCGCCACCTGCAATGCCAGCATCCAATATAGGCTCCAGTTAGTCCCAGATGCTCTACTTCCGATCCAGCTCCCTTCTAATGTGCATGGAAAAGCTGCCCAAGTGCTTGGTTCCCTGCACCCACATGGGAGACCCAGAGGGAACTCTAGGCTCCTGGCTTCAGATCAGTCCAGCTCTATCCTCTGAGGCCATTTGCGGAGTGAACTAGTGGATGGAAGACTTGTCTCTTTCTCTATCTGCCTCTCTGTAACTCTGCCTTAGAAATAAATTAATTAATTTAAAAAATAAAAGATAACCTTTTAAAATATATATATATATAAATGTTCATTACAGGGTTTTTGGCTTGGGCTAGTACTTATCATATATATTTCTTTTTTTTTTAAATTTCAGAGGCAGAAAGACAGTTCTCATCTGCTGGTTCACTTCCCAAATGCCTTCAAGGGCCAGGATTAGACCTGACTGAAGCTGGGAGCTGGAAACTTAATCCAGTTCTCCCACGTGGGTGGCAGGAGACCAGTTTCTCGAGGTATAACCCCTTTCTCCCACGGTCTGCATTACCAGGAAGCTGGAGTCAGGAACTGGAACCTAGAATCTAACTCAGGCACTCCTGAGAAATGCTGTCTTAATGACTAGGCTAAATGACCACCACTTCAGTACAATATTGTCATGTTAAATTATCCAAATGTTTATCAGTAGGAAGTAAATGAAATCACAGTTTATCCTTAGAATAAAATCTTATAGGTATTAAAAAGTTTAAGATAACATTATTGGTAATTATACTTAAATTTTCAGCATGAAAAGGTGTCAAAGATGTACTGCTTAAGGAAAAAGGAACATGGATAAAGAGTTAAGCCACTACTTAGGAGCTCTGCATTCCCGTTTAGGTCCTAGCTACTCAGCTTCCAATCCAGCTTCCTGCTAATGCCTCTAAAGAGGCAGCAGATAGTGTCCCAAATGCTTGGGCCTCTGCCACCCTTGGGGGGCTCATGGAGTTCCAGGCTCCTGGGTTGACCTGATCCACACTTAGCTATTAAAGGCATGTGGGGAGTGTACCATCAAAGGGAAGATCTCTTTCTGTGTTTCAAGTAGGTAAAAATAAACTTAAAAAAAAGACAAAAGGTTTACAAAATAATTTTGAAAAATTTTAAAAACTCAAAATTTTTATGGTTTGTAATTTCAAAAACAACTGTGGAATTATGAATAACTTTTACTTTATAAGTTACTTGTTTTTGTGTTGCTTGAATTTTTAAAAAACATAGTTAGCAGTAAAAAGAAAGTCTTTATCCCTGTGTGTTGAATTGTATGGAGCATAAAGCATATAACTAAAATAAGAATAAAGTACATGACATACACAAAAGAATTTTTTTTTTTTTTTTTTTTTTTGAGTTAAAAAGTAGAGCACACTGAGGGCCAGCGTTGTGGCATAGCGGGTAAAGCTGCTGCCTGTGACATCAGCATCACATATGGGTGACTGTGTCCCAGCTACACTACTTCTGATCCAGCTTCCTGCTGAGAAAAGCAACAGACAATGGCCCAAGTGTTTGGGCCCTTGCCATCCACATGGGAGACCCAGTGAGTCTTCTGCCTTTAGGAGTAAACCAGCAGATGGAAGATCTCTCTTTCTGTGTCTCCATAACTCTTTCAAGTAAATAATTTTTTTTTTTTAAGTAGAGCACATTTTGACAAAGTGAAGGTAGAATTAAAATGAAAGTATTATTTAGGGGGAACTTCAGTGAAGGGAGAGGTTTTTGCATTGAAAAGCTGAAAGGGATCAGAATGGTGAATACAGTTTTATGATTGAAGCAGAATGGAATGATTAGGTTGAAGAGAACTGGAATTAGAGATGGGATGAAAGGAAGGTTGATTTCTAGAGGAGCCTGAGGGTTCTGAAGGGTTTAATCCATGCTGTAGTGGGACTCAAAAATGCTGTCAGCCAAATAAAATGGGAAAACCACATTAGTGTCACTGCTACATCCTGCATAGTAGTGTGCAGGAATAGCAAAAGACATAATTAAAATAGGAGAGGAGTTGACTGGTCCAAATCATTATTACTTTTCCCCTGGACTGTTGCAATAGCCATCTGACAGATTACCGTATTTCCAGTATTGTCACAGCTACCCCCATTCCCCAATCCATTTTTAACACAAAAGCCAGTGTGATTCTTTCTAAAAGTTAAGCCACAGCAAAACTTGCATTGCCTCCCATTTTGATCATAGTAGCCCAGAAGACTCCTGACTCATTTTCTATTTTTAGTATTTATTTATTTGAAAGGCAGAGTTACAGAGGCAGAGGTAGAGGGAGAACGAGGTCTTCACCTGCTGGTTCACTCCCCAAATGGCCACACTGGCTGGAGCTGAGCCAATCCAAAGCCAGGAGCCAGGAGCTTCTTCCGGGTCTCCCATGCGGGTACAGGGGCCAAAGGGTTTGAGCCATCTTCTGCTTTCCCAGGCCATAGCAGAGAGCTGGATCAGAAGAGGAGCAGCCAGGATTCGAACCAGCACCCATATGGAATACCAGCACTGCAAGCAGCAGCTTCACTTGCTATGCAACAGCGCCAGCTCCCTCCTAGCTCATTCTCTACTCTTGCCATTTCATTCCAAACTGCTCTCTTGGCTCTTTCTCAAAACTGACAGATCTCTCATTTTAAGAGTTTTCTACTGACTGTCCTACCTGTAATTTCCTTAATGTTTTGGCTTGAAATGTCATAGAATCTCAAAACAGGCAATAGTATGTGTGTGTGTGTGTGTGTGTGTGTATCTGTCACCAGTTTAGGAATCAATTTTAGAATATAGTTTGACAGCATAGGCAATGTTTTAAGCTGTTAATTCAAATACTTGAATTTTATTCCTGATGTAATGTTATTTTCTCTAAATAGTTAAAAAAAAAAAACACCTCACTTTCTGTATCCTTTAATTCAAACTTTATTTGATATCTCTAAGTGCAAATTTAACCTTCACCTGTCTTCTGGAGTTGTAGTTGTTTGGTTAAAAGAACATTTTTCTAAAACTCATTCCATTGTCCAGTATATTCCTTATACAACTGTATTGTCTTATAGATGATGATTGGCAAGAAGCACATGAGCGCTTGGCTGAATTGGAAGAGAAGCTACCAGCGGCAGTTAATGAACAAACAGGCAATGGAGAAAGGGATGAGATGGACTTGTTGGGTGACCATGAGGAGAATCTGGCAGAAAGGCTCAGTAAGATGGTGATTGAAAATGAACTAGAAGATCCAGCTATCATGAGGGCAGTGCAAACCAGGCCAGTTTTGCAAGTAAGTTAACTCTGTTTTGAGAATTGTAGCAGACTAATAGTTAACGTGCAACATTGAGCTTTGCTACTTTATTTCATCTTCTATAATGAAAGGATTATAGTGTGCCTTAGACAATTGATAATGTGATCCTTACGATCCGGTTCTTAAGTTGAAGTTGGGAACTAAGGTATATTCTAGAGCACTGTAATTTCTTACACTTTAGCAGTGGAGACTGTTTTGGACCTTGCTCTCCAAAAGCAGGTAGCTCACCCAGAGAGCCCACGCTATTCCTAACTTTGTATATCTGTTTTTCCTTTTTGTTAGCCCCAACCAGGAAGTCTGAATTCTAGCATCTGGGATGGATCTGAAGTTCTGAGGCGAATCCGAGGACCACTACTTGGTCAGGTATTAAACATTTTTTCTTTATGTAAAATTCTTAATATCCAAAAATTTTAAGTTGCCTCCTATTTTTATCCTTTCCTCACTAAAAGAATGTATACATGCATATCACTTGCCAATATTGACTACTGCATCTATTACTGTTGATATACCCTTCCTCAGGTTCTAGGGTAGAGGCTAAAAAGGAGCTCTTAGAATTCAAATTTGTCAGTGTATGATTTGAATTGCTTCAGATGTCTAGGCAAAACTGTAGGGATAGGGAACAAATGAGTATTTGCTAGTGATTGGGCTTGGCAGGAGGGGTTGATTATAAAGGGACATTACCAAGAAGCTTTCTAGAGTGATAAAACGATTCTGTGTCTTGAATACAATTGCAGGTCTATTACTCTGTGCATTTATTTAAAGAAACCTGTATGCCAAAGAGTAAATTTTGCTGTATGTGAATGAAAATAAATGGAAATTTAAAACTTATTTTTTCAAGGTGTTTGTGTCATCTGCACAGATTATTAAACATTTCATATTAACTAATTTTTTAAACCACTTCCTCAATTAGGAAATGCCTACAGTATCTGTGTTAGAATATGCCTTGCCTCAGAGGCCCCCACAGGGCCCAGAAGATGATCGAGACCTTTCTGAACGTGCATTACCAAGGCGATCAACTTCACCTATCATTGGGAGTCCTCCTGTCCGAGCTGTCCCCATAGGCACCCCACCTAAGCAGATGGCTGTACCCAGCTTCAACCAACAGGTACCTTTCATTAACAGGCACTCAGCCCAGGATATTGGGAATCTGGGCAAAATTATTTGGGAAATTGGTGATACTGGGAGGGGGGTGGAAGTTTGGGGTAGGCATTAGATTAGAAAGAAAAGTAGCCAATTAGAGCAGAAATTAGTACAAATAAGAGACACATTCCCTAATACCCTATGCTGCTGCTGCTGCTGTTGCTGTTGTCTTTTCACTGGGGGAGAAGAAGGGTAGTCAACCACATTAATGCATAAATACTTTTTAAAAATGTTTTTCTGGCTGCCCAAAGCATTGGCAGAGAGATAACTGAAAGCTGGGGGGAATGGGAACACGCAGCATTGTCCACATCCCTTTTTACCTTTAAGATATCCCTGCTTTCCCTAGAGCCTGTGCAGTCCTGTTCCATAGACTTTCCTCCACCTGAAACCAGCAGCTGAAAAGGAAGGCCAATTTGGAAGGTATGGGGGGAGGGTGGTGTTGGTATGGCCTAGTTAGGCTCAATATTCTATAAAATGGTGGAGTCACAATGTATCAAAATTGCTGAGCATGGTGGCCATATCACAGGGGCTTCAGAATAGGGCTTAGTTAATCCTCCAGCTTTCTTATCATTCCTTCTCCCTCACTGCTACCAAAATATATACTCTTGGAGAGAATTTGCAAGTCAGAGTATCTGCTGGTACCTCCCTCAGATAGCGTGGAAGGGTGGGGATAACTGGAGAATTAGCTAAATCTTCCTCAGTTAAAACTGACACATCTTGATTTGTGAGAGAAAATGACCAAAGGTTCTGTATTTGAACCCATAGCCATAGCATTTGCTTAGAAGTAGGGCTTTGCGTTGAGTTCTGTGTCTCTACCAGTACTTGAGGGGAGGGAGTATAGATGGAAGAAAAACTGATTTCATTGAGTGTAGTTGTGTATATGTTTATCCCGATAGATTCTGTGTCCGAAGCCTGTCCATGTTCGGCCCCCAATGCCACCACGTTATCCTGCTCCCTATGGTGAGAGGATGTCTCCAAACCAGCTCTGCAGTGTCCCGGTATGTCACTTTATAACCTAACAAAAATGTACAATATGTGTTTTATAATCACTACCTATATAATCACTATCAGTGTATAAAATTGACATCTCCTAAATTATATATATATTTTTATAATTGCTATACTTGAATTTGTGGATCTTATTGTTCCCAGGTTAGAGGACGTGGTCACTTGTTTCTTATCTCAACTCTTTTCTTTAAAAATCGAAACTCATTCTGATCATCTGCTTTGCTGCTACTTCCATTGTTCATTGTGTAGTTGTTGATTTCCTGTTATGGTCATAGTGTTTTATCATCTCTTTTTTTATGATTCTGTCAGTGGAGAGATTGATATTACATATCCAAGTTTCTTATACATTTTTACTGAATTCCCTTGTTATATTGATTTCCTGTTCCGTAACATAGTTTTTTCCCTTTTTTTCCCCTTAGAATTCATCCCTCCTGGGTCACCCTTTCCCTCCTAATGTTCCTCCTGTTCTCAGCCCCCTCCAAAGAGCACAGCTTCTTGGAGGAGCACAGGTAAGCCTGTGTTTAGCCTTAGCCGTAAAGAACCCTTCTAATTTCCTAAGGTTCATTAGATATCACTTTTTTTGCTTTTAATCACAACTACTTTTTGTTTTTTTCACTTTTTTTTCATTGGTAGAAATAGTTTTAAATTCTCTGTGGATAAAAACAGGGGAAGTTTTCAGTGAACTAAATCTAATATTGTCCCTCCTTGTAGCTACAGCCTGGACGCATGTCTCCCAGCCAGTTTGCACGGGTCCCTGGATTTGTTGGTAGTCCACTAGCTGCCATGAATCCCAAGCTGCTGCAAGGGCGAGTTGGGCAGATGCTTCCCCCAGCACCAGGCTTCCGTGCCTTCTTTAGTGCCCCACCCCCCTCTACACCACCTCCACAGCAGCATCCTCCTGGCCCAGGACCTCATCTGCAAACCATAAGGTATATAAAACAAATGCCACTATTTGTACATTGTCAGCCAAGTCTCTTGCTCATTGACGTTTGGTTTTGCAATACAAAAGTCTCTTGATATTTGCTCAGTGATACATATTGAGTTGTTATTGGATCCTCAAGTTGGCAAACATGGAAATGTTTGATAATCTCCAGGCTTTCGTATGAGTCACATTTCCTTAAGAGTCACATGCCTCCCTTGTACATTTGCACATTACAAATTAATCACCCCTTACTTCTAATGAAGTTTTCGTTAAGTTTTACTTCATACCCATTTTACAAACACATACATGGTAACATATATACAATTTTAAGATTTATTTTATTTATTTAGGAGGCAGACTTACAGACAGTGTGGAAGAGAAAGAGATCTTCCATCTGCTGTTCACTCTCCCAAATAGCCACAATGGCCAGAACTGTGCCGATCTGAAGCCAGGTGCTTCTTCCAGGTCTCCCATGTGAGTTCTGGGCCCAAGCACTTGGACCATCTTCCACTGCTTTCCCAGGCCATTAGCAGGGAGCTGGATCAGAAGAGGAGCAGCCAGTACTCAAACCAGCACCCATATGGGATGCTGGCACTGCAGGCTGAGGCTTAATCTGCCACACCATAGGTGTTGGCCCTCAAACAATTCTTACTGTTTTTTTTTAATTTTTTTAAATTTTTTATTTTTGACAGCAGAGTAGACAGAGAGAGACAGACAGAGAGAAAGGTCTTCCTTTGCTGTTGGTTCACCCTCCAATGGCTGCCGCAGCTGGCGTGCTGCAGCCGGCGCATCGCGCTGATCTGAAGCCAGGAGCCAGGTGTTTTTCCTGGTCTCCCAAACGGGTGCAGGGCCCAAGGACTTGGGCCATTCTCCACTGCACTCCCTGGCCACAGCAGAGAGCTGGTCTGGAAGAGGGGCAACCAGGACAATCTGGCGCCTCGACTGGGACTAGAATCTGGTGTGCTGGCGCCGCAAGGCGGAGGATTAGCCTATTGAGCCACGGCGCCGGCCCCTCACACAATTCTTACCACTTAACAGTTGCCTTTTGTTAAGGAACAGGGATAGTAATGGTAAGAAGTCGGCTGAACTCAGCACTAGCTGAGTTGCTTGCTTCTGCTTTCTGGTTCTATAATAAGAGTTTAAGATCTTACTTCAGTGAAATTGTGTTTAATTCCATATCATTGTATCAGCCACAGTTCTCAAGAGAAACACTACCAATAGCATGGATACACACATACTTCCTTATATGTATATACACAGAGACAGTGTGTGTTTTGTTTTAAGAAATCGGCTGACTCAATTGTGGAGGCTGTCAAGTCCAAAATCCGTAAAGAAGGCCAGTAGACCATAAATTCAAGTAATAGTTGGAAATCGCGGTCTTGAAGTTGAAATATTTAGGGTAGACCAGCAGGCTGGAGGCTCAGGCAGGAATTCTCTTTTCAGTCTTGGGGCAGAATTGCTTCTCTGGGAAATTTTAGTTTTTATTTTAGGGCTGTTAACTGATTGAGACCCTCCCACACTGTCAAATTGAATCTTGTTTTCTTAAAGATAACTGATTATAAATCATGGGGCCAGTGCTGTGGCACAGTGGTTTAAAAGCCCTGTCCTGTAGCGCTGGCATCCCATATGGGCACCAGTTCCAGTCCTGGCTGCTCCACTTAAAGTCCAGCTCCCTGCTAATGACCCTAGAAAAGCAGGAGAGGATGGCCCAAGTCTTGCACCCACATGGGAGACCCAGAAGAAGCTCCTGGCTACTGGCTTCGGATCAGCTGAGCTCCAGCCGTTGTGGCCATTTGGGGAGTGAGCCAGTGGATGGAAGACCTATCTCTCTGTCTCTACCTCTCTAACTCTTTCAAATAAATTCTTTAAAAAAAAAAAAAAAGTTAATTACATACAAAATAACTGAGACCCTCCTATATTATCAAATTGAATCTCATTTTCTTTTTTTTTTTTTTAAGATTGTTTATTTATTTATTTATTTGAAAGTCAGATACATATAGAGAGAAGGAGAGGCAGAGATAGAGGTCTTCCATCATCCACTGGTTCACTCCCCAATTGGCCGCAACAGCCAGAGCTGCTCCAGTCTGAAGCCAGGAGCCAGAAGCTTCCTCCAGGTCTCCCATGCAGGTACAGGGACCTAAGGACTGTGGGCCATTCTCTGCTGCTTTCCCAGGCCATAGCTGAGAGCTGGATCAGAAGTGGAGCAGTGCCCATATGGGATGCCAGCACTGCAGGCAGCAGCTTTACCTGCTACACCACAGCGCCGGCCCCAAATCTCATTTTTTTAAAGATAACTGATTATAAATGTTAATCACATACAAAATACTTTCACAGCAATATCTGAACTGGAGTTTTATCAAATAGCCAAAGACAAATAACCAAATACTATAACCTGTCCAAGTTGAAATATAAAATTGTCCCATATTTGTTTTCTATGTCATTCTCACATAGTGCATTTCTGTGTCATACTCACTGAGTACATTAATCTATTGAGAGACTTTTGTTAAATAAGAGCAAAAAATAATTGTAGGAAAAAAGCAATTATATTGCTTTACTGATAATTCAGTTGGATTTCATGATGATTATTTAAGAAATTGAGAACTAAGGCTTCAGGGAGGATATATTTTAAAAAATAGTCTATCTTTTGCTTCTACAAGGTCTCGTTAGAAAAGACTCTAGCAGAGGCCTGCGTTGTGGCACTGCCTTTGATGCCAACATATGCGCACCAGTTTGAGTCCTGGCTGCTCCACTTCCTATCCAGCTCCCTGCCAGTGTGCCTAGAAAAACAGCAGAAGATGGCACAAGTGCCTGGGCCCTGCCAGTGGAATGATACAGAAGATATGGAGATATGGAAGGAGTTCCAGGCTGTGGTCTGGCTCAGCTCTAGCTATGGTGACCACTGAGGCGTGATCCAGCAAATGGAAGATATTTCTCTCCCTCTTTTTTTTTTAAAGATTTATTTATTAATTTGAAAGTCAGAGTTACACAGGGAGAGAGGCAGAAAGAGAGGGATCTTCCATCCGATGGTTCATTCCCCAGATGGCCGCAATGGCCAGAGCTGAGCTGATCCAAAGCCAAGAGCCAGAAGCTTCTTCTGGGTCTCCCACATGGGTGCAGGGGCCCAAGGATTTGGGCCATCTTCTACTGCTTTCCCAGGCCATAGCAGAAAGCTGGATTGGAAGTGGAGCAGCCGGGTCTTGAACCAGTGCCCATATGAGATGCCAGCGCTTCAGGCTAGGGCAGTAACCCACTGAGCCATAGTGCAGGTCCCTCTCTCCCTCTCTTAACTGCCTTTCAAATAAAGTTAAAAAAAAAAAAAAAAAGAGAGAGAGAGAGACTGTAGAAGTCCCTTGGGTGAAACTATATGAAGTTATCCAGGACTGACTGATAATATTCTTTAAATGTCAATTCATCAAAGAAGGCATTGTGATGCATCAGGTTTAATCTCCCACCTGGGATATCCCATCCCATACCTGAGTGCCCAATATCAGTGCCTCCACTTCCAATCCAGCTCACGCTGAGGGTCAGTAGATAGTGATGGTTCAAGTGCTTGGGTCCCTGCTTCCCCTGGGGGAGATCCAGATGAAGTTCTAGGCTCCTGGTCTCATCCTGGCCCAGCCCCAGCTTTTGCAGGCATTTGAGAAGTGAACTAGCAGATGGGACGATCTTTCTGCCTCTTTCTTTGTGTGTCTCTGCCTTTCAATTAAGTAAATAAAAATTTGTTTCAAAGTGACTGAGCACCAGTGCTTGTTTCCCCAAATCATCAGAACAGAATTGAGAACCCTTTTTTCCACTGTTCTTAGATCTCAGGCCCCAATGTTTAGACCAGACACAACTCACCTTCATCCTCAGCACCGTCGACTCTTGCATCAGAGACAGCAACAGAACAGAAAGTAAGTACTCATCCTACTCCCTTATGATCTCTTAATTCAGCTTTTGATTTTCATACTGTTAACAAGATGCTAATAATTTAGTTTACTTTTGAAGTAAATGTACTATCTTTAGCTTATTTTGCTGGTAATGTCAAATCAGAAATGTTGTCATTTTATGTTTTTAATGCACCAGCCCAACTACCAGAATTAAAAGTTTCTTCTTAACTACCTTTTTATTTTAACCTTCTCAGATTAGAGATACTCCTAAAATATGGTGGCCAACCTTGCATTTGGATCTCATGTGAATTCAGTGGTCACTATTTTTGCCTGTAATTATCTAATCCTCATTTGACAAATAGAAACATGTCTTTATGTATGGGATCCCACCTTGGTACCACACACCATGGTAGGTTTTGGGGGTTAAAAGTAAAACAATGTACCCAATAAAAATGTACAACTAACTTTAATTTTTAAAGAAGATTTTTTAATATTTAGTGAGATGGAAGTGCTAACCGGACTTAATCTTCAAACATTGAATACATGTATTGAATTATCACACTGTGATCCATAAATATATATAATTAAAATAAATAAAAAGAACAAAACAGATAAAATCCCTACCTTAATGGAACTTATATTCTATAATCATCTATATTAAATAAAAAACCAAATATATTAGCTTTTCACTACTGCATTTAAATTGCCTGAATGGAGCTACTTAGAAAGGAAAGTTTATTTCAGCTTAGAATTTTGGAGGTTCACTGTCCAAGATCAGTAGCTGGCGAGGCTGGAGGATGAAGGAAGGGATTACGTGTTGAGCCAGGAAAGATGCTCAGCTGATATAATCAGCTCTTTTTCATAGGAAGTACTTCTTGAGGGCAATCCCCCAGTGACCAAAAGACCTTACCTTTGAGTTGCCTTCTAAATGCCTTATAGCAAATCTCCATCCTTAATTCAGTAACCATTAACATTAATCCGTTAAAATTAGAATAAGACTTTGGGGCCCAAGTGCCAATTCATGGACTTTTGGAAGACATCCAAACTATTATCCAAGCTGTAACATCAAAGATAACTGAGATGTCTTTAGCCTTCAAATTCTGTTTTTCTGCGAGTATGTGTGATTCCTTCTCACTTGCAGAAACATCCCAGAATATTTTTTGCGGGGGGGGAGGGGGTAGAATAAACTAGTATGAACCCTTAGTTAAACAAGACACAAAAACTAGGGGCTGGCACTAGGGCGCAGCGGGTTGAAGCCCTGGCCTGAAGCACCGGCATCCCAAATGGGCACTTGTTCTAGTCCCAGCTGCCCCTCTTCTGATCCAACTCTGCTATAGCCTGGGAAAGCAGCAGAAGATGGCCTAAGTCCTTGGGCCCCTGCACCCATGTGGGCGACCCGGAAGAAGCTCCTGGCTCCTGGCTTCGGATCGGCGCAGCTCTGGCCTTTGCGGCCATCTGGAGAGTGAACCAGATGGAAGACCTCTCTCTCTGTCTCTGCCTCTCTCTGTAACTCTGTCTTTCAAATAAATAAATCTTTAAAAAAAAAAAAAAAAGACAAAAAATACAAACCATAAAAAGAATTATGCATTTGACTGTTAAAATATTAAATTTCTATAAATGAACAGTACTGTAGACAAGTCATGAAACTCGCAATACAAGCAATCCCAGTGGTTCAAAAAATGAAAATACATCAGAAAAATGTAGATTAAAATTAAGTAACCAGTTAACTTCCTCAGACAGGTAAAACCTGAAGTGTTGCACCACTGTCAGTGTTGGCAAGGATGGAGCATACAGCTTATTGAGAGAGAATTTGACAGTAGAGAATAAGATTGAAAGTGTGAATATGCCTTACACTAGCAGTTCTATTTTTTGTTGTTTACCTGGTATATTATCAGTATGGTAAAATTATGAAAAACATAATATTGAATGAAGCAGAATTACATGTCTCAAATCAGATTTAAGGGCATGCAGAATAATACTGTGTAATATTTAAAGGTAGACACATACAATAAAAGTGTAAAACAGGATGCATGTCAGTAGAAAAGTGGTTCTTCTGTGAAGGAAGGGAAGCTGGAAACCAGGATCCAGAGAAGTACAAGAGGCCTTCAACTGTAAATGTAATTTTGTGTTGCTATAATAAATTATGAGCAAATTTTTTTTCACTACATCAAAATGGTGGGTAAATAAATACTTATTATTGTATATTCTGGACTTTTGTCTATATTTGAAATATTTCATTATTTTTAACAAGTTTTAAAAATGTGTATAAACTGTATAGTCAAACCAGGTGTAGGACTTTAGACAAGTTACCTGATCTTTCTTTGGCTCAGTTTGTTAAAGTGGACAAAAGAAAACTACTTCATAGGGCTATTGTGAGGCTTATACAAACATCTGTGGTGAAAGTGTTATGGTAAGATACTCAAATCTTGGTTTTATTTCCTTGATTATGTATTGCATAGCTGTTTCCTCTTAAATTCTATTGACTCAACCCTTTTTCATTATCTTTTAAACATAAGCTGAGAAGAATCTTTATTTGGCCTGATTTATTCCTCTGTTGTTAAAAGGCTTAATTAATGTGTCCACTTGGAGTGAGTATGACATGTTTGTTCTTCAGTCAGCATCGGAATCTTAATGGTGCAGGAGATAGAGGAAGTCATCGGAGCAGTCATCAGGATCATCTCCGAAAGGACCCCTATGCCAACCTCATGTTGCAGCGGGAAAAGGATTGGGTCTCCAAAATCCAGATGATGCAGCTGCAAAGCACTGATCCCTACCTAGATGATTTTTATTATCAGGTAAATACTCTGCTAATTTCAAGGATAATAATCTGCCCTCTTACATTGATGAGGGTGTTCATTTAAATATTGGTAGTTTCTTTTGAGGTAGTTTTCAGATGGGTGAAATTGACTAAGCAAATTCTGTCCTTTTCAAGTTGGAGACACTACTGTGCTATGTGACTTTGGATTCTTCCAAGTAGAGGCCCTCAGACCAATGTTTTCAATTCTTTTGGAGTCAATAATGTGGTTCTTTCTGTTAAAAATATTGATAGTCTGGAGCAGTGTTTAGCCTGCTGGTCAAAACACCCATATCCCACATTGCAACCACCCGAGTTCAGTTTCCTGCTCTGGCTCCTAACTCAAGCTCCCTCCCTGTGCTGACTTTCTGGAAGGTAATGGTAATACCTCAAATAACTGATTTCTTGCCTTCTAAACGGGAGATTTGGATGCATTCTTAGCTCTAGACTTCAGTCCAGGCCAAGCTTCAGCCATAGCAGGCATTTGGGGAGTGAACCTGGGTAAGAGTTTGCTCACCCACTTGCTCTCTGTCTCTCAAGTAACTTCTCAAGTAACTGTTGTTTTTGTTTTTGTTTTTGTTTTTGTTTTTTTTGCAAAAGAGGCCAGTGTTGTGGCACAGTGAGTTAAGTGGCTGCTTGCAATGCCAGCAACCCATTTTGGAGCACAAGCTGCTCTAGTTCCCATCCAGCTCCCTGCTAATGCATCTGTGAAAGCAGTGGAGGATGGCTCAAACACTCAGGCCCAGCCACCCACATTGGAGACCCAAATGGAGTTCCAGTCTCCTGGCTTGGACCTAAATCAGGCCTGACCACTTGGGGAATGGATCAGCAGATGGAAGACTTCTCTCCCTCTGTCTCTCCTTTCTCTCTCTCCCTTACTCTGTCAAATAAATAATTCTGTTTTTAATGGAAAAGAACACCGACAGGCTAATTTTAGAGATATTTCCATGGAAAACCTTTGTGAAGGGTAGAATATTTTAATAAAGTAAATTTCTAGCAGTCTTAACATTTCTAGAGTTCAAGTTTGTGTTACTGCCACTATCCAAATTAATTATTGAACGAAAAAACCAGCCATGTTTTGTGCTTGTGTTGCAACTACAATTACCTTCTCATGTGATAGAATTACTTTGAAAAACTGGAGAAGCTCTCAGCTGCTGAAGAAATACAAGGTGATGGCCCTAAAAAAGAACGCACCAAGCTTATCACTCCTCAGGTGGCCAAACTGGAGCATGCTTACAAACCTGGTAAGATCCTAATCCCCAGGCCTGTAAGAGAAATTTAAAATGCTATTGATGTGCTAAAATTGAGTCAGACATACATATAAACAGATCCAGATATTTGAAAATTACTTACAAAATACCATTGTCTTTAATAAATGCAAAGATCAGCCTTTGTTCAAGCATAGAATGCGTGGTGTGACAGAGGACCTTTCAGGCTCTTGAAATTTCAGAATTTTTTAAAACCTGTTACAATTTTCAGTATCACTCAAATAGGTAAAAGGGGAAGAAAGTACAATAGACTTTTATTGTGATAATTATTGCAACAAAGGATAGGTCAAATAATCTGCTTTTGTAGTATACTATGAATAAAGAACAGAGAAAAGTAAAGATCTTTGAATACTGCTTACTATATTGCTGAGTTTTTACTTTATTGAAAATTTTTTATTCTTACAGTGCAGTTTGAGGGCTCCTTGGGAAAGCTTACTGTCTCTAGTGTGAATAATCCTCGAAAAATGATCGATGCTGTTGTGACATCTCGGAGTGAAGATGATGTAAGTTTAAGCAAAATTGTATTTTTAAGAATGGGTGGGCCTTCACCACTTTTTTGGGGCTCACTGAAATGAGATCAGGCATGGTAGAATTGTTCATAGTCTAACCCAGAACTTCCGTCTGAAATGTTACAGCATTCTGGTTTTCCACAGATACGCTGATATTAGTACCTTCATTTCTAAGGCATCCAGACTGGGCCTGGGGTGGCAGGAGTCTCTGGACTAGATAATTTTTGGTTCAGACAGCATCTACAAGTATATTTCAAAAAGTTTATGAAAGGGGGCTAGCATTGTGGCACATAGGCTTAAGCTGTGGCTTGCAAGGCCAGCATCCTGTGTTGGAGTGCTTGGTTCAAGTCCTGGCTGCTCTGTTTCTGATGTAGCTTCTTGCTAATATGCCTGGGAAAGCTGTAGAAACAGTCCAAGTGCTTGGGCCCCTGGTACCCATGTGGGAAACGCAGGTGAAGTTTTGGGCTCCTGGCTTTGGCCTGGAAGATGGATCTCTCTCTCCTCCTTCCCTGCTTTCCTCTCCCTCCTTCTATGTCACTCTGCCTTTCCAATAAATAAATAAAATACTTAAAGTTTGTGGAGGGGTCATAGCAGTTAAAATGCCACTTGGAATGCCCACCTGTCATTGGAGTGCCGGAGTTCACATTACAGCCCCACTTGTAATTCCAGCTTCTTGCTGATGGGCACCTGAGAGGCATCAGATGATAGTTGAGTCTCTGCCACTACTTTGGAAGACCTGGATTTGCACCTGGCTTTGGCCATGGCCCAGCCCCAGCTATTACAGGCATTTGGGAAGTCTGTCTGTTTCTCTTTATACCTTTCAAATGTGTAATAATTAAAAGTATAAATTTAAGACACCTTGTGAGAAAGAAAGGTATGTTTATTTTGGTACAAAACTTTTAAATTCATATATATCATATTTACTCCAGCTTACTGATTTAAAAAATTACTGTTGGTGCTAGCACTATGGTGTAAGCAGCTGTCTGCAGCACCAGTATCCCATATGGGCGCCAGCCTGGCTACTCCACTTCCAATCCAGCTCCCAGCTAATGTGCCTAGGGAAGCAGCGGAAGATGGCCCAAGTGCTTGGACCCCTGCACTTATGTAGGAGACCCTGATGAAGCTCCTGGCTTCAGCCTGGTCCAGCCCTGGTCATTGCAACCATTTGGGGAGTGAACCAGAGAATGGAAGGTCTCTCCTTTCTCTGTCTGTCTGTCTCTCACTTTCACTCTAACTCTGACTTTTCAAATAAATAAATAAATAAACCTTTTTTTAAAATTTACTGTTTTCTATGTGTTGAAGATTTTCCTATATCTTTATATGCTGCTGTATTCTATAATTATCATTTACCTATCTATGAATTCAGTTTAATAGTTTGTGGTTTGATTTAGTAAACTTTCCTTTGTCTACACTAGTATTGTTTTAGGTTATTAACTCTCAGAGAGTTAAGATTCTTTTCTCAAGTATTTTCACAAATGAATCTAGAAATGCACACTTCATCATTTTTTTTAACAGAGATAAAGAGTTCACATTGAATAGTCTTCATCTTTTTTAGGAGACAAAAGAAAAACAGGTTCGAGACAAAAGAAGAAAAACCCTTGTTATAATTGAAAAAGTAAGTTTTAAATTTGTTGAAGTAGTTAGTTTCAGATAAGTGTCAAACGTATATGTACACAAGAAGTGGAAGCAATTGGTATTTGATTTTCATTAGTGAATGTATCTAAGTGCCTGTCTGTAGCACAGCACTCTAGAAAGGATTGTGATACACCTCACCTTGGGCGTCATGGAAAGAACACTGTAGTTAAAGTTAAAAGTACTGGGCATTTGTCCAAGCTTGTTCAGTTATAGCTGAATAGCTTTGTGCAGGTTATTTTCTAAGCCTGATAGAATGAGGAGAAAGATTAAATTGTTTCGTGTATGGATTAATTAGGTCAAGTCAGTTCACAGATATTCATTGGGTACTCCCTGGGTGATGGGTTGTATTCTGAGTTCTCAGGGTAATCAGATATATATAGGAAATTGGTTTGTAAAGTATAAATACAATGGCACAAAGCCATAGAGCAGAGTGGTTAAGAGCATAGAGTCCAGAACCAGGCTACCATGCCTGTCATTTCCATTCCTGACTTTGGCAAGTTATTTAACCTTTGTCTGCTGCCCTGAATTTCTTCATCTGTAAAAAAATGAGATGATACTGTTTTTCTCATTGGGTAGTGCTAAGTTTAATTATTTTACTACCTTTACTTGCTAGATGACGATCAGGGAGGAGTAAAGAATGATGTTTGAGGAACTTTTTAAGTCATTTCAGTGTTTGACTTTTTTTTTTTTTTTTATCTCTCTCTCGAGTTTTCACTCTTTTGTCTCTATCTGATAATCCTAAACTGGGAAGTTCTTTAATGCTCTGTGATCCTGACCTAGCCTGTGTTTGGCCTGCTTTTGTCTCTTCCTTAGACCTATAGCTTACTCCTTGATGTGGAGGATTATGAGAGACGTTACCTCTTAAGTCTAGAAGAAGAGCGACCTGCCCTGATGGAGGAAAGAAAGCACAAAATTTGTAGCATGTATGACAACTTAAGGGGGAAATTGCCTGGACAAGAGAGGTAAGCATTGTGTACTTTGAGGAAATCAGGAGACTAGCTAGACTCTCCTGAATTTTATATTTCTTCCTTTTCCTACCATAATTGTAGGTTCAGGATCTATTCTTTTGATCTAACTCAAATTCCACTTCATATAAAACCATTTCTTAATAATTTCCAGTCACAAAAATACTCTGTATTCTGAATGTATTTATTATTTAGCAAATACATGTTTAATGTTTACTAAAGACTATGCTAAGTTTTGGAGGTACAGTAAAGAACATTAATTGGGCTTTTATTTTTTTATTTTTTTTTTTTTTTGACAGGCAGAGTGGACAGTGAGAGAGACAGAGAGAGAAAGGTCTTCCTTTTGCCGCTGGTTCACCCTCCAATGGCCGCCGCTGCAGCCGGCGCACCGCGCTGATCCTGGCAGGAGCCAGGATCCAGGTGCTTTTCCTGGTCTCCCATGGGGTGCAGGGCCCAAGCACCTGGGCCATCCTCCACTGCACTCCCTGGCCATAGCAGAGAGCTGGCCTGGAAGAGGGGCAACCGGGACAGAATCCGGCGCCCCAACCGGGACTAGAACCCGGTGTGCCGGCGCCGCCAGGTGGAGGATTAGCCTATTGAGCCACGGCGCCGGCTCGGGCTTTTATTTTTTAACCAGATTGTATTCTGGTTCGTGATTACTGACATGTCCAGCCTTCTAATTTTATGTAGTTGCTTTTCTGCTAATATAGGAAGTGTAAATATTTCTAGTTCCTTGAGATTCCCATAGAATATTTATATGCTATATACTAGTCAATTTTCCAATGAATACTAAGCTCTTCTCTGTCTCTCTTTATTATCTCCCATTATCTGAAAAAGACTCTTGTTAATAATAAATATTCTGTGAATACCAAATACTTGTTTGCTGAATGCAAGCAGACTTCATCTCCTAATGGCTCCCACTCCCTTTGCCCTTTCGAAGAGACTGCTTTTAATCTAGGGCAAAGAATAACAAATACTTTCTTTTCAGCACATCTTTTTTGGAGTTGGGCTAATGGCACTGGTTGAATAAATGTGGTTTATCCACGTATTAGGGATGTTATGTAGTTTAAAGTTACGAAGTTTAAAATGTATAGGAGATGAAATATTTTTATTGACATGGAAAAGTGTTCCCAAGAATTTGAGAGAGAAAGTTATTACAAATGCCTATGAATTCCATGGGCCCATTTCTTCATGAAATAATAAAAATACATATACGATACATAGCGAAAAGGTTCTTCAAAATAGTAACAGCAAAATTAACTTTGATATAATGAATGTTTTTATTTTCCTTTGGCTTATATATATTTTCAGATGTTGTTCTGTTAACCATTGTGATACTTGTGTGGTTACTTAAAGCTAATAAAGCAAATTAATGCATATAGTTTGACCAACTTTTTTAAGATTATTTGAAAAGCAGAGTTACAGAGAGGCAGAGGCAGAGAGAGAGGTCTTCCATCTGCTAGTTTACTCCCCAAATGGTTGAAATGGTTGGAGCTGTGCCAATCTGAAGCCAGGAGCCTGGAGCCTTCTCTGGAAGGCTCTGGAAGTCGAGTGCAGGGGCCCAAGGACAGCTTCCTCAGGCCATAGCAGAGAGCTGGATCAGAAGTCGAGCAGCCAGGATTTGAACCAGTGCCCATATGGGATGCCAGTGCCACAGTGCCGGCCCCTAATGTAAACTTTTTGAAATGATAATTTTCTACATTTATGAAAAAAAAGTATTCTTTTTGTAAGATTTTTATTTATTTATTTGAGAGGTAGAGTTACAGACAGAGGGAGAGATAGAGACAAAGGTCTTCCATCTGCTGGTTCACTCTCCAAATGGCCACGATGGCTGGAGCTGGGCCGATCTGAAGAGCCAGGAGCTTCTTCAGGTTTCCCACGTGGGTTCAGGGGCCCAAGCACTTGGGCCATCCTCCACTGCTTCCCTAGGCCATTAGCAATGAACAGAGCCAGAAGAGGATTATCTGGGGCTCGAACTGATGCCCACATGGGATGTCAATGCCACAACCAGAGGCTTAACTCACTACTCTACTGTGCTGGCCCCAAACATTTACTTTTTATGTTTTGAGAGTTGGAGAAGTAATTCTCACTATTTAGCACTATAGATTGCTGTGAAAATAAATGCAGTATGTTCATACAGTAACAACTAAGCAAGACAAAATGAGAGTTTGTTATATGTTCTTGCTGACCTGGTTGGTATTTTTCTTCTTGTGCAGGCCAAGTGATGACCACTTTGTACAGATTATGTGTATCCGAAAAGGGAAGAGAATGGTTGCCCGCATTCTTCCCTTCCTCTCCACAGAGCAAGCAGCTGACATTCTCATGACTACAGCCAGGAACCTCCCTTTCCTTATCAAGAAGGATGCACAAGATGAGGTGATCCACCATGAGGGACTTGTTGCCTTTAGGTCTTTAGTTGTTAAGATTTCTAGAATCCAGATTTCTTTTCCTCTCCGCCCTTTGTGTTGTTTTCTCTGACTTTTGGTAGTATGGTTTGATTTTTTTTTTTTAAGATTTATTTATTTATTTATGTGAGAGGTAGAGTTACAGACAGGGAGAGACAAAGAGAAAGGTCTTCCATCTGCTGGTTTACTCCCCAAATGGCTGCAATGACCAAAGCTAGGCCAATCCCAAGCCAGGAGCTTCTTCCAGGTCTCCCATGTGGGTACCAGGGGCTAAGCACTTGGGCCATCTTCTGCTTTCCTAGGCCATACCAGAGAGCTGCATTGGAAGAGGAGTAGCCAGGTTATAAACTGGCGCCCATGTGGGATGCCAGTGCTGCTCACAGAGGCTTTAGCCCACTATGCCAGAGCGCCAGCCCCTGATTTGATTAAAGCAGAATCTTGAGTACTCCAGACCCATATTTCTAAGCACATATTTGATATATGGACCATGTTTCTAAACATGAAGAAAACAACAATTCCATCTTACTTGATGGAACTGTGAAGATGTGGTCTGTATCTTTATTACTTGGGAATTAAATAATTTAGCACTACCCTTTTACTGACTTAGAATTTACAAGGAGGAGGGCTTTTGTGTCTTTAACAAGCTCCCAGCTGAATCTGACACCCACTGAAGTTGAAAATTTCTAGTCTTATTACTTTGCTAGCTATAAAGTATCACTCATTGGACTGTTATCAGTAGTTTAACATTAACTGGTAGACTTAAATGGGGTCCCACAGAAATCAAGCCAGTGCTTTTAAATAATTTTTGTTGTAATCTAAATTTGAAACATTATCATCAAGTTTATAAGTTAATTCTTGGTTAGAGTTTCTGTTTATCGCTGTCAAAGCACTTGACAGATTTGCAAAATTTTCACTGATCTTAGAAAATTTAAAACAAGTTGTTAAAGAGTATGAGAGAGGATTAATATTAATGATTGTGAGATTCAGAGTAATAAAATGTATTAGTGGACCTGTTGGAGTAGGCAACAGGTTGAATCGTAACTGAGTAGTTTGTCCCCAGAAAACAAGTGATGTCAGGATACGCTATAAGTGAAAAGCCATGAAAGAGTTTGAAAGTATTCTTAGACCCTTGAAATTTTACCATCTGCAGAAATAAATGAGAAATTTAGGTCTCATCATGGGAAAAAATAAAGTAGGATGAGACACTGCATTTTTTAAAGATTCCAAGAATTAAAAATGGATTGGAGGAAAGTTTAAGAACTTGAATAAGAGACGACCAAACCAAAAAGTAACAGCTACTTAGAGTACATAAATTGTAGGCAATGAGGCATTTGTTCATCATTATCTCACAGGAACTCATAAATGAAAACCAGACTGGGCATGCTTTGTTCATTCAGCAAATATTTATTGAATATTTCTCTGTACCAGATACTCTTTCATATCCTAGAAATACAGCACCTCATTCTAGATGCCAGGAGCTAGTAATACAAAAATGCATGCCTTCATGGAGTTTCTCAGCCAATGAGAAACAATTGGTTAAAGTAGTAGTAATTCCAGTTCTGAGGCATAAACTGTACAAAATAATCCTGGAATATCTCATTCTAGGAAGCTAATAGATTACTGAGGACCAGTCCAAAGGGTGCATAGATAATCTTGAAGAGGCTCCCGTTAGCCAAAAGTGTGATGATTTGTGTCAGAAGGAAAAAGTAAAGCAGTGGATTAGAATATATCAAATATATTTAACGAGTTCATAATTATACCGAAAACACATTGAACACCTTTGGAGTTCAACTCATTATTCTGAAAATTGGTAAACAAAGGAAAAGATAGAGGCATTAATCTATCCAGCCTTTCTAATTCAACTAAATGGCATGGTTACCAGAGAGTTGATAATACACAAAGAGTCCTTTATAGAAGAATTTAGCTAATAAATGCAAAAGAAGGGATCAAATTAGAAAGTGGCCATTTTGTGTGCCCTAATATAAGGGCAACCAGTCAATCTGGACAGTGATCATTTCTCATTGCTGATAGCTTTAGGTAAAAAACAGATGGAGAACTATACAGTGGTTGGAGCAGGCTGATAATAACTGAACCCACACTAATGCAGTCATCACTACTAAATGGCACAGCCAAGCACTGTGTGCTTCTGAGTGATGGGATGTAACAGAAAGCACACAGCTGTACCCAGGAAATTTTTTTCGATGCCCCTGCCACCACCAGTACCAACACCACCTCTACTCCCCATACCCCTGCAGTGAGCCTGAATCTAATCAGACCTGCAATTCTGTCAATTTATAGGGGGAAAGTATAGCAGAACCTGTTAAGTGACACCATGGAGATGCAATTAGCCCCGTCCAAACTATGGGATAAATGCAAAAAATACAAATGATAAAGGGAGCTGGGCAGTGGTACAGAAACTATTACAGATTTTAAAAGACTTATCAGCCAAATACAGTGTATGAATCTTGATTGAGTCATGATTAGAACACATTGGCTGCTAAAAGAGACTTTTGGGGCAATTGGAAAAATCTGAATTTTGAGTACATGTTAGATGATACTAAATTTGCTAATTTTGTTACGTGTGATTTTGTGAAAAAAAGTTATAGAGATGCAAACAAGTACTTTTAGAGGAAATGATGTGATAGCAATTTAATAAGTTTGGCAAAATGTTGATTTGAAGTAGGTGGGGGGTACATGAACTTCCTCATACTGTTCTTTGTGTTTTTGTATATTTTGTAAAATTACCATAAGCTTTTTATTTAAAGTAATAGGCCACCCAAAAAAGGTCTACTTTGAGTTCGTGGAAGCACTGTTGATTTTATGTTTTATAACTCAGTTTTTCTGTATTTTAACTTTTCATTCTGGGCCACTTGGCAAAAGGAATGGATCACTAGAAGGTTAGAATTTGACAGACTTGGGTTTTGTTTCTGGCTACTTGCTATGTAACTGAACACTAAGTTTCTGATCACTTAGCTTCTCTAATTGTGAGAATTGGCTAATCATCCATTTTCTCAATGAGCTAGGTAAGATATAATTAAGTCTGAAAATACTTATCACTAATTCTGGAACACTCTGAATTTATTCTGTCATACAGTGTTTCTCACGATGTATTGAAATACCAAGTCTTTCCTACTTTACTGTAGATCTCTGAGGGTCTGTGTTCTGTTTACCATTTGTTATTAGCTTCCAGTGCCTGGTACTTTGTAAGGCATTTAAATATTTGTGGAATAAGTTAAAATAGTGTTTTAGCATGAATCTTCATATGTATTAAAAAGTGATTTTATATCTTTGATTCATGCGTGTCTTGGCATTTCCATTGCAAATATAGAGATTTAAAAGTTTCCAGTTGATATCTTTGAACCCATTGTTAAGTTTCTAGTCATATCTGCTAAAATTGTCACCTTTTCCTTAAATATTATCCAAGGTGACAGCTGCAACCATTGTTGAATGGGGGTAGGCAGGCAGTTGGTCACAGCTGCCAGGATATAATGCTTTGTTTGTATTTTGTAGGTGCTGCCCTGCTTACTGAGTCCCTTCTCTCTCCTCCTCTATCATCTGCCATCAGTGACCGTCACCAGCCTTCTGCAGCAGCTAATGAACCTACCTCAAAGTGCACCTGCACCAGCACCCTCCAACCCTCACCTCACTGCTGTGCTCCAGAACAAGGTAGTGTTTTCCTCTTATATTACTGAACTATATAGCTATCTGAGTTTAAATTACAGGTAAAAAGAGTGTCTGCTATGGCTGGGTAATTGGAACCAAAGGCTTCTTTCTGTCAGGAGTTATATTAAGCTCTTAGTAACAGGCTAGAAATATAATTTTATGTATTTCATGTGAAATACATCTGGTATAGTAGCTCAGGATGTGTCATCGGGGATCCAGTTTTTCTTCCTTGTCCTTCTTTGTAACATTTGCTGAGGTAAACTCCAGAAGGTGGGTTGGAGTCCCAGGATACTTCAGCTCCCTTTCAAAAAAGACCCATTGTAGTTGTGATGTACACGATAAATGAATATTGGTGTCACTGTTTGCATTTTCAACCTAGCCCATTGAGACTGTTTCCTGTTTTTACTCCTGAGTAAAAATTTTGTACAGTTGAGTCTCTAACGTATGTTGTTGAGTTTTAGTAGCCCTACATCTATTTATCCTTTTTCTCTTTTAGACTCCTGTTAACAACCTCTGTTTCTGGGTAAAACTGTCTTTTTATAAGGATGTTTTTTAAAGATTTATTTATTTATTTATTTATGTGAAAGTTAGAGTTACACAGAGAGAAGTCTTCCATCCACTGGTTCACTCCTCAGATGGCCACAAGGGCCAGAGCTGCGCTGATCCGCAGCCAGGAGCCAGAAGCTTCTTCCAGGTCTCCCACGCGGGTGCAGGGGCCCAAGGATTTGGGCCATCTTCTACTGTTTTCTCAGGCCATAGCAGAGAGCTGGATCGGAAGTGGAGCATCTGGGACTCAAACCGATGCCCATATCAGATGCCGGCACTTCAGGCCAGCACGTTAACCTGCTGGGCCACAGCGCTGGCCCCAAGGATTTTTTTTTCTTTAAAACCTAATCAGAGCCGGCGCCGTGGCTCAATAGGCTAATCCTCCACCTGGCGGCGCCGGCACACCGGGTTCTAGTCCCGGTTGGGGCGCCGGATTCTGTCCCGGTTGCCCCTCTTCCAGGCCAGCTCTCTGCTATGGCCAGGGAGTGCAGTGGAGGATGGCCCAGGTGCTTGGGCCCTGCACCCCATGGGAGACCAGGAAAAGCACCTGGATCCTGGCTCCTGCCATCGGATCAGCGCGGTGCGCCGGCTGCAGCGGCGGCCATTGGAGGGTGAACCAACGGCAAAGGAAGACCTTTCTCTCTGTCTCTCTCTCACTGTCCACTCTGCCTGTCAAAAAAAAAAAAAAAAAAGATTGGCAATTAAAAAAAAAAAAACCTAATCAATCACCCTTTGTACAGTTTCCTAAGTTGTTGGTGGTTTTTTGGTTATTTTTGTTTTTGCTTTTTTTTTAAGATTTGTTTTATTTATTTGAAAGACAGAGTTAAAGAGTTTCCATCTGCTGATTTATTTCCCAAATGGCTGCAACAGCCAGGGCTGGGTCAGACCAAAGCCAAGAGCTTCTGGGTCTTCCACGTGGGTACAGGGGCCAAGAACTTGAGCCATCTTCAACTGCTTTCCCAGACACATTAGTAGGGAGCTGTATCTGCAGTGGTACAGCTGGGACTCAAACTGGCATCCATATGAGATGCTGGCATCACAGGTTGTCAGTTTACCCACTACACCACAACACTGGCCCCTTAACACCATTTTTATTTGTTCAGAACATCTTAACTCTGATTTTTTTTTTCTTTTTGTTTACATGAATTTTAATTTTCTGTAGCAAACTTAGTCTGAGTTTGACTTTCCTGTTTAATCCATTTTGGTTCCTAGTGGGAGGAGGGGAAGAAGCCAATTCTCATATTATGGCAGGGAAAAGTCATCTTTTCCTCTCAGGGTGGGCAGCAGAGAGGACTGCTGAACATTGACATTCCATTGCCAAGGCTAAGTTCTGGCACCACTGCCAGAAGTGAAGCCTGGAGAGACAGCCTCTCCACTCAGAGTTGTCTGCTCTTTGCCTGGTTTCGCGGAGAAGCCCAGCATTGAGTTTATTTGATAGTGCAGCTCCCATCAGACATCAGGACCCTTCCACAGTGGTGAAGGATGTTTAGCTCTACTGTTGAGTTTGATTCCCTGTCTCTTTTTCTAGTTTGGCCTATCATTGCTCCTCATCCTTCTGAGCCGTGGGGAAGACCTACAGAATTCAGACCCTGCTGTAGAATCAACGCAGAATAACCAGTGGTCAGTATGAAGTGGTTTCTTCTTGAAGTTTAGGTTCTTTCAGATAATCTGGTTTTTTTCTCATAGTGTTATGGGTTTTCCCTCAGGACTGAAGTGATGTTCATGGCAACACGAGAACTCCTCCGGATTCCCCAAGCAGCCCTGGCCAAGCCGATCTCTATGCCCACAAACCTAGTGTCCCTCTTTTCTCGCTATGTTGACCGGCAGAAACTGAATTTGCTGGAGACAAAACTGCAGTAAGTTTGAAACAAGAAAGTTCCTGTCTTGCTACAGTTGGCACTTTAGAAGTTATGATGGGGGGGAAGGGGCCAAAACTGAATTTGGTGGAAGATGTTAAAGACTTTTACTAAATATGTATCTACTAGTTGTAAAGATATTGGGTACCACAGTGCCCTCACAGAAGTTGACTACAATACTAAATTGTGGGTATTATGTTATGAGAATGTAATTTTAATGCAAAGATTGCCTTCTGTTTTAAGTTATTTATACAAACAAGTTTCCTTTCTCTCTTTATACCCTTAGGCTAGTTCAGGGGATACGATAAAAGATCTCCAAATGTGTCCTGTACCTCCTTGTGGCTGCCACCTGCACTGCTGCCATCAACCAATGGAGTGTTTTTAATGAGGGAGGGAAGGTAGCTTATTGCCCAAAGCAAAGTCTTGTGGGATCAACTCCTGGTTGCAGGGGTTGTTTCCATGTGCCAGGTAGTTTCCCACTGCTCTGTGAAATTTGGCTGGGTGATACTTCTGCTGGTTTCTTCTTTACCTTCTGTGTTACAATTCTGCATGTCCTCCTTTTACTCAATTCTCAATTTTGCATTTTCTTTGCCCTAGAGACACAAATATAATATCTCCCTTTTTCCCAACATCACTACTACAATTCAAAGTAGATTATAGCCTACCAAAGGATTCCTTCCCTCATCCTAGTCAAATCTCTTTTCATTGTCCCATATTAATATGACTATAGGAAAACCAAGTAGAAATCAAAACATAGAAATATATATATACATAAACTTACCCCTAAACATGCATTAATATGGTCTCCAGAGGGTCCTTAAAGAATCAGTTTTAGATTGAAAAATATTTAATTGACACATACTTCTAAACACAAAACCAGCTGACGTATTTTTAATCTATTTCTATTCCCTCTTTTAATTAATTTTATGGGTTCTGTTGGTTTCCATAAATACAGGGTTGTAGCATGTTTAATAAAATCAGAATTCTTAATTGGCTGATGCCAACCTCTAGGCTGAGAAGTCCTTTTTCTCCTCCCACCTTTATTTCCTTTGTTTGGTCCTCTTTAATGGAAACAGCACACGGTTAAGCCTTTTTCTTGCTACAACTTACAGCATACTTGAGCCTGTCCCCTCAGGTGCATTCAAGATCACCAAGATGATCCTAACTTAAACCTGCTTCTGCAGTGTAGCTTTTTGCACACTCACCCTGTCTTCCTGAGACTACTTCTGTAAGCCATGCTTTTACTTTTCTTCCCCATTTTCAGTTGATGCCATGGGAGAAAACCTCAAATGTAACCATGGAAGCTAAGTTTTACCTGTATGCTCTTCAGTTTCCTCCACACGATGGGCAGACCTGCTGTCCTCGCTATTCCATCTCACCCAAGTCCCATTCCAAGGCAGCCAGGGGCCTGGGTTTGAATAATAGCAGTGAGGGTCTTCCATGATCTTTCTCACTTACCTACCCCTCTCCTATTCAGCAATCAACCAGGATAAAGAGTTTTGGTCCCTAGTGATTATTAGCCCTGAAGAAAACTAAAACATTAATTCTAATTACCATTCTGATCTACTTTCTGCTGTTCTTACTTTTTCGAATGTAGTAGGAGGGACAGGCTATGACATTTAAAGAGAATAAGTATTTTGCACATACATGTATTGTACAACAGTAAAATCCTCCATTATAGCCAGCTGCCCCTGTTCTCCATCTCCATTTTTCCCCTTCTGAAGCTCCAGGCTCCACCAGCTGTTCCCCAGTGACATTACCTAGACTTCTTCCACATTGTCTGAACCTTGCCGTTAGGCGCCTTTCCTACCTTCCCTTCACACTGATCAAGTGAATACTTGATTATTATTTCTTCCTTACCGTGCTTTATCTTTTTTGTTTGGTTCTAATTAAAGTAAAAGTTTCTAAATTTACATTTTTATAGGGTATTGTAAATAAAAACAAATTGTATACTTGAAGAAAATGTGTGCCTGCGTTTCTACTTTTATTTTTTACTTCTGACAATGATTTGTAATGTGTTTCTAGCATATTTGGATACAGACTGGAAAGCTTCTTGATACTGAAGATTGATAAAGATATTATCACTTAGTGTTTTACTTTTTATTTTTGTTATAAGGAAGACATAAATATTATGTCTAAAACCTGAGATGCTTTTCTTTCCCTCCTCCACCCCGTTTTTTGGTGTTTTTTTTTTTTTTTTTTTTTTTTTTCCTTTTTAACAGATAGAGAAATCCCATATCCACCTGTTCACTCCCTAAATGCCCACAACAGCCAGGGCTAGGCCGGGCCAGAATTAGGAGCCAGGAACTCAGTCTGAGTCTCCCGATGTGGCTGGCAAGTTCGCAAGTACTTGAGCCCTCACCTGATGCTTCCCAGGGTATACATTAGCAGGAAGCTGGAATTGCAAATAGAGCCAGAATATAGCTAACACTCAGACCCAGGTACTCCAGTGTGGGAGCAGGCATCCCACAGCAGTACCTTACTGCTGCAGCAGGGCTCATGTCCTTCCCCCCAACCCTCCATGTAAACTACAAAACAGAATTACAAACTTTAGTAAATATACTATGGTTTATTTTCTCCATCCTATCTGTAAACATGAATAAATCTCCCCTGAGACTTTTTTGGTTGTTTATTTTCATTTTATTTGAAAGGTGGAGATCTTTCATTCACTGAATCACTTCTCAGTGACCACAACAGTCAGGTCTGGGCCAGGCAAAAGCCAGGAGTTAACTCAATCCCCAGGGCCGACGATGTGGCCTAGCAAGTAAAGCCACCGCCTGCAGTGCCGGCATCCCATATGGGCGCTGGTTTGAGACCCAGCTGCTCCACTTCTGATCCAGCTCTCTGCTATGGCCTGGGAAAGCAGTAGAAGATGGCCCACGTCCTTGGGCCCCTGTACCTGCATGGGAAGACCCAGAGGAAGCTCCTGGCTCCTGGCTTCAGATCAGCACAGCTCCAGCCAATGCGGCCAATTGGGAAATGAACCAGCAGATGGAAGACCTCTCTCTCTGCCTCTCCTCTCTGTGTGTAACTCCGACTTTCAAATAAAGAAATAAAATCTAAAAAAAAAAAAACAAACAAACAAACAAAAAAAACTCAATCCCTGTCTCCCTATATGATAGGGACCCAAGTACTTGAGCCATTTCTTGCTGCCTCCCAAGGTGCCCATTAGCAGGAAGCTAGAAATAGGAGTAGAGAAGTCAAGACTTGAGCCCTGACATTCTAATAAGCATGTCTTACCAACTTACTTGGCAACAAATGCCTGCACTTCCAAAACTTTAAGCAACTTGCTTTGTATTTAGCTGCTCTCATGGATAATACTCCCTTAGCTCTTAAAACACACTACTTAGAAGGGAAAAGATCATTGTATAATTACTTTAGACTTGAGTATCATTTTTATTCTAAAATCCTCAAAAAGACAACGAACAAGTAGATAAAGGCCAAAAAAAAAAGTTTAGTATAGAAAAGAAGAGGGAGATAATTTAACATTGGGCTCCTACTTACATGAAGCTTAATTTTTCCTCAGCAGGAAATGTGCTCCTTAAGGATAAATTGCTTGCCTTGGGTACACACCTAGTGGGCAGCAGAGCAGGGGACTCACAGGATATTGCTGGGAGGGAATAAAATTATCTTCAAGTAAAAGACTTATTCTCACCTCTTAACATAAATGAACGCCAAGTGTCATTAGGTAAATGCTTTTAGTGTGGGCTGACCCAGTGTTTCCCCTGCATTCCCCCAAGATCAGGTTCAGAATGTCAGAGGTGAGGAAGACTTCAGCAGTGTAGCCCTTAGGTTTAAGATAGGTGGTAGAGCTCTGAGAGAACAGTGAAGACCCACTAGTGGGAGAATCAAGGTAGGAACTCACTTGTGTGTGCACTCTTATTGTGCTGCTACAACTTGGGCAATACAAGCCCTAGACCAGAAAATTTATGTTTTCCGTGAGGAAAAAGACTAAGAAATAAGTGCTTCTATTTTATGACTATAACAATAGTTTACACTAACAATACTAATTGATGGTTGGTTGAGTCATAGAGTATGTATCAGATAAAATTCAAGAGGCTTTTAAAAGTTATTTTCAAATCTTACAGTAACCATTCAGGGTAATATTAACTTCCCTGCTCATAGATGTCAAAAATTATCAACTTAGGTGGGGGTACTAAAATAATTTACAACAATATGGGACAGTTAAAATAGGCATCAATGTTTGCAATCTTCCATAAGAAAAAAGACCCAGGGGCCAGCATCCTGGCATATCCCACATGGATGCCGGTTTGAGTCCAAGCTGCTCCCCTTTTGATCCAGCTTCATGCTAATGGCCTGGGAAAAGTAGTAGGGCCCAAGTACTTGGATCCCTGCCACCCATATGGGAGACCCAGAGGAAGCTCTTGGCTTCTGACTTTGGATCAGCGCAGCTCCCACTGGCGCGGCCAATTGGGGAGTGAACCAGTGGATGGAAGACTTCTCTGCCTCTCCTCTCTCTGTGTAACTTTGACTTCCAAATAAGTAAATAAATCTTAAAAAAAAAAAGGTATTCATCAGGGCCAGCCTTGTGATGCACAAGTTAAGCCACTGCCTGCAGCACTGGTGTCCATGAGTGCTGGTTTGAGTCACAGATGCTCCATTTCCAGCCCCCTGCCACCCATGTGGGAGAACTAAATGTTCCTGGTTTCATCCTGACCCAGCCCCAACCATTGTGGTCATTTGGGGAGTGAACTTGTGAATTGCAGAATTATCTGTCCCTCTTATAACTCTGCCTTTGTTTTTTCTTTAAGGAAAGATTACAAAACAATTATACTCATCACAGCTTTATTTAAAAAATTAGAACCTAAGTGTTCAACATCACAATAATCTGTCATAGACAACAGAAAGGCAACATAATCACAGAAAGTATGCAAAGAGGAAAATGCATATATATGTTTTGAATCCAACTTTTTTTAAAGAAATATTTAGTGTCGGTGCTGTGGTGTGGGTAAAGCCGTTGCCTGTAGTGCCAGTATTCCATACAGGCACCGGTTCAAGTCCCAGCTGCTCCACTTCTAATCCAGCTCCCTGCTAATGCACCTGGGGAAGCAGCAGATGGGCCACTACACTCATGTGAAAGAGCTGGAAGAAAGTCCTGGCCCTTGGCTTCAGCCTGGCCCACCCCCTGTTGTTGCGGCCGTTTAGAGAGTGAACCAGCAGGTGGAAGATCTCTCTCTCTTCCTCTCTCTGTAACTCTGCCTTTCAAATAAATAAGTAAATCATATATACATATTCATACACACACACACAGTTGAAAGGCAGTTACAGAGAGACACTTCATCTGCATGTTCACTCACCAAATGACCAAATGGCCACAACAGCCAGGCCTGGGCCAGACCAAAGGCAGGAGCCTGGGACTCCATCAGTCTCCCAGGTGGGTGGCATGGACCCAGGTGCTTGGACCATCCTCCACTGCCTTTCCAGGAGCGTTTAGCAGAAGCTGGATTGAAAGCAGAACAACCAGGACTCAAGCCAGCACTCCAGTATGGGATGCCAGTGTCACAGAAAGTAGCTCAGCTCACTGCACCATGGCACCAGCTCCTTGAATCCAGTTTTTTTTTTTTTTTTAATTCATTTATAATGAAACCCAGAGAATATTGGAAAGAAGCTTACTGATTGATACCTGTCTCCAAGTTGTAGAGTTATGGGGAACTTTCTTTTCCTTTTCAGTTTGTATTGCTCATATTCTTAGAGAAAAAATGTTTTTTTAATTTTTATTAATATAAAGAACAGATTTCATGTATTTCATAGATACAGTTGTGAGATAACCATGCTTCCCTTCTTCAATATCACCTCCTTCCTTCTTTTCCTTTAATTTTTGGAATAACAGTTTCCATTTACTTGATTATCACAAGCTTAATAACACTAATTATAGTGTTCAACAAGTAAGGGCTGTAAACAAATCGCAAAATGTCACTTCCATTCTTATACATCGCCTTTTTGTGTTCCATGTTAACTACCACATGTCAGAGAAAACATGATATTTGTCTTTTTGAGACTAGCTTATTTCACTATTCCAGTTGCATTCATTTTATTGGGAAAGGCAGATTTCATTCTATTTTATGACAGCAGTATCCTGTTGTGTATATATCCCATTGTGTATATACACCACATTCTCTTTAGTCATCAGCTGATGAACATCTGAGTTGATGCCATGTTGTAGCTATGGTGAACTGAGCTACTATAAACATGGGAGTACAGATAACTCTTTCATATGCTGACTTTATTTCCTTTGGGTAAATTCCCAGAGAAAGATATTCTTGAAAAGTATTTTTGAAAAAAAGTAATTACAGAGGCCAGTGCTGTGTCGTAATGGGCTAAGCCTCTGCCTGTGGCCTTGGCTTCCCATATGGTACCAGATCGTGTCCCAGCTACTCCTCTTCCAATCCAGCTCTCTGCTATGGCCTGGGAAAGCAGTGAAAGACAGCCCAAGTGCTTGGGCCCCCACACCCACCTAGGAGACCCAGAAGAAGCTGCTGGCTCCTGCTTTGGATTGGCCCAGCTTTGGCCACTGTAGCCGGTTAGGGAGTGAACCAGCGGATGGAAGACCTTTCTCTCTTTCTCTCCCTCTCTGTAACTCTACCTCTCAAAGAAAGAAATAAAATTTTTTTAAAAAGTAATTACATGCAAAAATACTAAGAATATGATATTCAGTAATAAACATGTTCTGTGTATGTATACAATCTGGAGAAAAAATATATGAGAACGAAGAATGCAATTGAGGATGAACAAGTGCAATATTAGCCTTTAAGGGAAGGATTGTGAAGAATATGTGTGTAGATGATTGTTCCTGTTCTTCCATATTTTCCAAATTTGTGTTCAATTTGAGTATGTATTATAATCAAAAGTTATTCTCTAAAAGCTATTTAAAATACTAGCCATCTATTTCTAGTGAAAACCTAATTTCTACCAAGGCTAAAATGTCTAATCAAATTGTGCTTG